ATATATTTACAGTAGGAAATTTACAAAATATCTTCATGGAACATGATCTTTACTTAATATCCTAATGATTTTTGGCATAAAAGAAAAATCTATAATTTTGACCCATACAATGTATTTTTGGCTATTGCTACAAATATACCCCAGCGACTTAAGACTGCTCCAGGTGTGCTCCAGGGTCACATTTGGATAATACCGGATAATTATAACTTTGGTAACTGACTTACAATTAGAAACAAGCTACAGAAAATTTACAGAACAAAGAAAAAACTTATCAATTTAATTAAGTAATAATGAATAAAGAGAAAATGTCACAATAATAATGCTAGTCAACCAGGAACTTTGAACTGCTTTATTTTATTCAGTTAATTACTTTAGGGAAATACAGGTGTATTAATACAGAACATACTACTCCAGATTCCATCTCATGTTTTAATAGTCATTTTTCTAATAGTAAGTCCTGCAACTGACACATGGGCCTACACAGTATAGTGAATGTTCTTCATATTAATCTGATAAAATAAATTTTTGGGAGGACAGCAGAACTCTGCCTGTATTCTTGTGTTACAGATATATTAAAATATACTGTAAGTTACATTAAAATTACTCCATGTTAATAATAGAAATACTTTAGTATTGTGCTAGTTACAACAACATACAGTATATTAACTGGGTGAGTAAAAACTGTTGCTTCAATAATCCAGATATTTTACCACAAGTGGACAAATTAGCTGCAGAAGTCTCATAAAATAGGCAATTGTTTCGCAGGCCGTACAGAATGTTACATTGTAATTTGAGCATTTATGCTTCACAAAGTCATTCACATAAATATTCAGAATTCACATTGTCCTGCACATTTTGAAATAGTAAAACTGTGAGGTTTTAGTGTGGAAAAATACTCAACTGAAAATTTAAATGCTGGCTTTGTATTATTTACGTATGAACTTCTCAACTTCTAATCATCATAATGTAACAATGTTATCTTATAATCCTGGAAACCACAAGACTGGCCAATTATGCCTCAAGAATAAGGAATGTCACAGAAACCGGACACAAATGACTTTTGAGTGGTGTTATGCATCTACGAAATACATATTTGCACAGTGTAATAAAACATTCATATTAAACATATTGTACTTGAAGCCTGTGTTACTAATTCTCCACTTTAAACTAAGCTTTATAAAACATATTTATAGACAACAGGACAGAAAATGAGTCATGTTAGTTTGCCTTGATTGTGACTGTAGTGAAAACCTCCTTGGTCCATGGTAAGCACTCGGATTGTGTTTCTTTTAGTGAAGGATGGCCAGCAGGAGGCGCTTGAAATCTCCGCCGCATTCCGAGCTGATGGCGTCTTTTAGAGACACATCATATTTCTCCAGGTACATGTCTTTAATGGTCTCCAGATCGATCTATTCAAACAGAAGAGTGTCCATTACAGGCTGATTTATAAAACGGTCTAATCTGACCTCTGTGTAACAACGGAACAGTATTCATCATTCATCACTTCACGCTAAATATCAGTGTCTATGGAGGGACCTGCTACATTTGTATCATGTGAAATATCCCACAATGCAATGCGTTCGACCTTTCATTTCCAATTTGACAACTGAACCAGAAGTACACTACCATTCAAAAGTACACTATGTGGTCAGTAAGGTTTTATTTTCAATATTTTATGTTTTGAAAGATGATTTGAATAGATAAGTGGTAATGTACCTCTGAGCGACACACAATGGTGCGGATGAGAGTGTCTTCGTCAGTTCCGGCACCTTTCATAGCGGCATTCAGCCTCCGGGCAAAGTATAGCTGAGGGTTCTTAGCACACCTCACTATGGGTTAGATGGGAAGTGTTAACCAGTGAGCATCGTAGCATTACTATACAAATAATCAAAACCGGGACCTCTAGTATTAGACACTCCAAGGCATTTTGGCTTTGTTCACAATGCACCCAATCTGTGTTTGTATACAGTAATGACTTGAAGGAATAGTTCACCCAAAAATGAAAATATGCTGAAAAATCGGCCCATTCAAGACGTAGATGAGTTTGACTCTTCATCAACAGATTAAAGGAATTTAGCATTGCATCACTTGCTCACCAATGGATCCTGTGCAGTGAATGGGTGCCGTCAGAATGAGACTCTAATAAGACAAAAGTAACCCGCACAACTTCAATCCATCAATTAATATCTAGTGAAGTGAAAAGCTGTGTGTTTATAACAAACAAATCCATCAAGATGCTTTTCTGGCTAAAATATGAGTCTATCCATAATATTACTTTCTCCAGTGAAAAAGTTATCTTGTCTGAATCAGGAAGAAAATACAGTACACACACTGTTTACGAGCGAAAACCGTCCAAAACATTTCTAAACAAATATGTTGTTGGATGGACTATTTCACTGTAGGAAGCATTGATATGGATGATGGACTGGTATTTTTTACCTGAAGCGACGGTTTTAAGTTAAAATGCTTTAATGATGTATTTGTTTCTTACAAACATGCAGCTTTTCACTGGAATGGAGTGGTGTGGATTACTTGTGGGTTATTGTGATGTTTTTATCAGCTGTTTGGACTCGCATTCTGACGGCACCCATTCACTGCAGAGGATTCATTGGTGAACAAATCTGTACTAATGAAAAACAAAATTCATCTACATCTTGGATGGCCTGAGGGTGAACTAGTCTCAATGAAAATGGGTGAATCCAGAGACACTAGAAGGTCTAGAGACCACCGCACCATCATAGTTTTTACTTTACTTCTACTTAGATGTCATGTAATTTCTTTGTTGTTCATACTACAAAAAAATAATAGTTCTGTCATGACAACTCTTGGAGGGATTGTACCAAGACTTGCTACTGCCAATATAACCACAACATGCTGCTGTGAGCATGTAAGAAATATTGCTGCTGCAAATATAACATACATGAAACACCTCGTAGCAGATCTATACAGGTGGAGCTGGGGAAGGTGGAGGGTTTCTGAAG